CCCCAAAACCCCAAAACCCCAAAACCCCAAAACCCCATTTAAAGTATTTATTTTATGGCTCATAAAATATTATTTCTCTCCAGTTTAATATGTTTAATCTCAGAAGAATTAAGAGCAAGATGGCAGTATTGTCAAAAATGAGGGCCACCAGATCTCTGATCCAGTCCAAAACAACCATGCTTGTAAGTCCTTTGGGTGGGTTAGATCAACTAGATTGGCTCTTTGGAGCATTAGTACTTCATGCTTTGGAAATTCATTAAGCAAATCAGAAAATAGCAACAGATATTTTGATTCCCTCATCTGTCGAATAAATAATGAAGTGGCCATTGGAACAGTAGATTGATATCGAATATTCCATTGGGAGTATAAGCAGTTTACAATGAGTTTGAAGAAATATATGACTTCTAACAAGTATCTATAGAGACAATGGCCAGCAATGAGCTTTAGCAGTAAAAATAATTATGACTCTAAATTCGATAAATTCATGAAGCAAACAAAGACAACATCAGATGAAGAAGAGAGAAGAGCTAAGGAAGCTGAGAAGGAAATGAGAGAAAGAGAACAAAAAGCCAAAGCTGAATCTGAAAAAGCCAAACAAAAGCTCAGAGATACCAAAGACACCTTCGAAGGCTTCTCTACCAAAGACCAACAACAAGAAATGAGTATGAAAGACGTCTTCAAAAACATCAACTTCAAAGAGCATCTTGATGAAGCCTCAAGCATGTTCACCAATCTTAAGTCTGGCGCTTCCAAGAAAGTCGGAGGCATTCTTGAAAAGCGAAAACAACTCTTCAACAAAGTCAAGACTGAAGAAGTCCAGAAAAAAGTCGAAGAAGAGCTTCACAAAACCTCAGAGCAGCAGCCAGATACACAGGACAAACAGCAGGCAGCCTCTGACTCCACTGACAAGGCTTCTGAAGCAGAGACTGCAGACAAAGAACAGCCTTCCGAACAAACCAGTGATGCCCAAGAAGCTGCAGAGCCGAAAGAGTCTGTGTTGTCAAGATTCAAGAATCGAGTGGGGTCTACCACCGAGACCATCAACCAGAAAGCTCCTTTTCTGTACAAGACAGGAGTCTTCATGAAGGACCTGTGGCAAGAGACGTTTCCGAACGATGACGGGAAAGTCAAGTCAAGGATGAGGAGGCGCAAGGAAATGGCTCAGATGCAGAAGAAATACTCTGAAGAAGAAATTGCTGAAATGCAAGAGGAAATTCCTGAATGGAAACGTACAGCTGTTCAAGTTGTAGATGAGAGTCAGCAAGAAGACCAAAAAGCAGGATATATTAAGAAGCTTTTCAAGAAGGTTGGATCCAAAGTTTCAGACTCCTCAGTTGGTAAGAAGGTATTCGAGAGTGAGGAGTACAAAGAACTCATGAAGAAGTATAAAGAAGTCAAGGTAGAGGCTTCAGAGTTCAAGGAAGATTTCAAAGATGAGGTAGAAACAACACAAAACCCAATTGTAGGTGGAGTCAGAGGAATAGGAGATAAATTCTTAGGGGACTCACCTCAAAGTCAAGCAGTCGCTAAGATGAGAATGTATGACCCTGAATTTGATATCCTTGAGTTGAATTATGAGGTAGAAGAAATTTTTGAAGATATGTTCAATAACTTCTTAGAAGGAAACTTAGAATATCTTGAAAAATTCTGTGGAGAAGCAGCTCTGGCTATCATCAAGGCTGATCTACAAAGGAGACATAAGGAGTTCTGGGATTATAAATATAAGGAACTTATATTCTGCACAGATACCAATCTAGCAGATGCCAATATTGGTGATGATAACAAGCCTAGGTTCTCTTTCACTTTCACTACACAAGATATTAATTGAAAAGTATCAACCAAGGATCCAAATGACATCGTAGAGGGAGGAGATCATGAGCTCCAGCAGTGAATCTACAAAATAACCATTCGGCTTCATGACGAGCCTGATATCTCTGAGACTGGGCATTACTGGGAAATTGTAGAATTTGAAAGACATGATCAAAAGAAGCAACTCGTATAAATATGTAATATTAATGACACTCCATTGATTGTCAATAAATATTCCAAAAAGAGGGGTTTTGGGGTTTTGGGGTTTTGGGGTTTTGGGGTTTTGGGG